GTTGAGGGAAGGGGGGGGGCGGGGCTGTTGGTTTTTCTCTTTGGGTTTTTTTCCCCTAGATGTGGACCACGAGTAACTTACGCAGCCTACCTAGTCTGTCACCTCCAGCTCACTGGCGCCATTTTTTTTAATACAGTAAATTATTATATCCAGTTTCTACAATTTTACGGGAGAGATTTAAAATAAAACTGAATGTTTTTACCAAAAAAACAACTCTTTATACAAAGCCCAAGTCAATATTTTTTAAGAATATGGTTTTGATAATAACTTCCGTATTACCTTTAAAGCAATTGTTTTGTTTTGTTTTGGTTTTTTGTGTGTTTTTAAGGGAAAGGGGGGGATAGGTTTATTGTTGTTTCGGCTCTCCTGTAATTTTTTTTAAAAAATATAAATAAATATCTTCATATACTGTACTTTTTTAAATGACGACAGCACAGGAACACCGTGAAAACAATCTAAGCAACTTCTTCCCCAACTAATGACCATATTAACAGTAGACATTGTTTTAAGCCCCCATCGACACGACTTAGATCATAATAAAGAATGCAGAGAGCTTCGAGCTTGCTCTTTAGATATATTATACTATAACCTGAAGGTGCGATGCATTCCAGCAGACAGATGGGGGTGCTTGATAGAATTATTACCCAACCGGGGAATTGGACTCGTGTCTTCTGTGTAGAGCAACCATTACACAACAGGCGTCGGTCTCCCCATAATAAACATACTCAGCTTCAGTCCACGAAAAAAATAATTTGTTGACTGAAGAGCCAACAAGGTCAGTTATCTCTTTGAGGACACGCAATCTGGTTATTCAGCAACACTTTTTTTTTTTTGGTAAGTGTTTTACGGCGTTCGCAACTGTATCGGGTCGTATGAGCGAGCTGGACAAACCAAAGATTCTCAGTTGGTAGCAGATTTTGAATTTTGCCCGGGTGACCCCGAAGCCTACTCTTATCGATTTTGGACCAACAAGGGACCTGCGCAACTCGCCCTTATTCGAGATCTTTCCTACCATAAGTTCAGGGGTGCGGCTGAAAGACACCAGTAAGAAGGAGCCAAGGAGAAGCAGTTGAAAGCCTCAGAAAGAGTCAGGAGCCCAGAGAAGGGGGCAAAGGTGAGGGGGTGGGGGCAAAAAGCGAGCAAACACTTCGCTACCCTTGAATTATTCTCAGTACCTCGTTTTGAGAAATTTGACGTTTCAGATTTTGAGTTTCACAATATGTCAAAGTCAAGATTTTTTCAAATTCTATTCTAAGTGTATACATGTATCTTGACAACAACTCCACATATCCTACGATTTTGATTGACAGAACATTTAGTTTCTGACCTCATGATCTTAGTAACTCAAGACGGCCAAAAATGTCAGGTGTTATTTTAAAGTAGCGACTTTCATGTATTTCAGAAGCACTGTTTTAGGGCAATTAAATTTTTTTAAAGAAGCATGATTTTGTTATTTATACAGATTTTTCACTTCAAATATCTTTATTTGCAACTTTAAAAAGCAGGCAACAGCGTGCGCACTGCATGTTAATTCCTGATTCTGAGTTGTGTAAGGTAAACTGAAATGTTTAGTTTTAGTAAGAGTCTTACGGCACTTGCAACACAGTAAGGTCATATAAGCACCGGATATTAGGTGTTACTAGAGAGTAACAAACATAAAAAACGATAGTTGTTAGATAGGACAGAAGGAGCAAACCACACCAGAGCACCCGCCAACCACCCACGCCTGAAATCTGCCACAACATAGCGTTTAGTCTGCTGCTGATTGGACCTATAGTATGTCCGTTACGTCCTGAAAGAGTGCGGTGAGTAAGGTCCTCGAATGCGCTCCCGAAGGTTTTGGGTTCTGTTTGGCTCTGTTGTTTGTTTGGGTTTTTTTTTTTTTGGGGGGGGGGGGGGGGGGGCTTCGTTTTTGTTTTTGTTGTTTTGTTTTTGTTTTTTGTGGGGGTTTTATTGGGTTCTTTTTTTTTTTGGGGGGGGGGGGGGGGGGGTTACGGGCGCTGGCAACTGCATATTAAGGTAATATGTGCGCGCGGGATATATTAAATATTTTCAATTGGTAGGAAATTTAGAATTTTGCCCGGGTAGCCCCCGAAGCCTACTCTAATCGATTTTGGACCACCAAGGGATCTTTAATGTGCGCAACTTGAACACGGGACCTCCGAGATTTTTCGCTCTTGATGTGGATCATGTTACCATAAGATCAGGGGTGTGGCAAAAAGACAACAATAAGTATGAGTATGAGCCACGGGGTACATTTGTAGCACTAGAAAGGCTGCAGAAAGAGTCTGGCGCCCAGAGGAGGGGGCAAAGAAGGAGACGACAGAACATAGCTGGAGAGCAGGAATTGAGGTGAAAAGAGACAATTTTAGAGAAAAAAAATTTCCCGTCGCTATCCGGATATGAACCCGGGACCTATTGAAAGAGAGGCAAACACCTTAATCTCTAGGTCACGAGAACCCCCCTTGAAGGAGGAGGAGAGATTATAAGGAAGATAAATCTTTGAAAAGAAAGACGGAGCACCCGCAAACCACTCATGCGACAGAAGACAAAGTATCTTCCCGTTGCTTTTGACAGCATTGAATTATTGTGCATGATTTTAAATGAGTGAGTGACGCCCTCATAGACACAATTACGGTAATGTTCAGGGCAGCCTGCTTCCACTCTGCCTGCCTGGTCCAACTCACATCGAGAGGGATACAGCATCCGACAGACAGACAGACCGACAGACAGACAGAGAGACTGAGATACTCGATAAAAATAATAACTTCCCTGCACTGGAATCAACCCAAACTCGCATCTTCTATGAGCAAAGACTTATAAATAGCCTACCATAGAAGTTTTAGTTCTAGGAACTTTCAACATTAAAGTCATATAAGGGCCAAAGATTGGAGGTGTTACAAGCGAGTAACAAACACAGAAAAGAAGGAAGAAAGAGACAAGGACAATAAATGTTTGATTGGAAAGAACGAGCAAACCTAACCAGAGCACACACCAACCACCTACTCACCGTAGAAGACACAGGCGACAGCACTGTAAAACAAGATGGACAAAAAATAAGCACGTAACACAAAACAAGCAAATATGAGAAAGGGACAAAATGATTCAAGTTAAGTACATACCATAATTCTCTTTAATTCGTTTCAAGTTTCAACTACGTCTATGTACAGTGAAAGAACAGACAACAATAGCAGTATACAGTGAGTCTATGCTCATCGACAATAGCAGTATACAGTGAGTCTATGCTCATCGACAAGACCCTACCCAACACTGTACACAAGTCAAAAGCATGATATCTCCCCACCCCCATCACCCGACCAAGAAGGTAACACAGGCTAACAAGGGTTCCCCAATGTCACTTTCACAAACATACTCTGTGACAGTTTTTCTCATTTTCCTACTTTTAAATGAGCACAAAAGTCAAACTTGTAACAGCAAATAGAGGGAGCTTTTCTCACTTTTCCCCCATTGGGAAAAAATGGGGAAAGATTAGGAATTTCTCACAGTCACAGTTACTACCCTGTATTAATACATATCAGCCATTTGTACCGCTGACAAAAAAAGAAATAGAAATGAACCGTTTTAACTCTCAGACTATGTGACTAAGCGTATGAGACTGGATCATCACCTTTTCCACCGTACAGCCCTAAATGACATCAGAGCTACACACTTCTCCTTCCAAGAGCTAACATTGACAACACACTCTACGGAACATTACAGCAACTGCAGCAAACCTGCACTTATCACTACATGGCATTGGACAGAAGGGCGAGAGCCTAGCTGTTGCTGGATCGATAAGAACAACAAGAGACAATTGTTAATCATCCGGTTGCCGTGGAAGAAAGAAATGTCAACAAGGAAACGACGACCTGTGCATTCTTGGATAGCGTCCCCGTACCCATCAAGCATTAGGGAAAACAGAGAACTCGCCGTCATACTTGCGACCTGACAAAACTTTTACCATCATGCTCTTCTTAGAATTAATTACTTTTCGGTCAGGCCATTTTCATATATTCCATTTAGACCTTAGATTGCAAAAGCACTAAGTCAAAAGTAAAATGTGCTTATTCCTAGTTCTTAAAGAAAGTTTTATAGAGGCTGCACAGCCTTTTCGTAAAAGAAGAGACATCTAATCAATCCTCTCTATTAAGGACAAAAAAATAGAACACCTTGTTTACAGTTTAAATAAAAGTGTATTGAGAGAGACATAAAGATTACAAACACAGTCCTGGAATGGGAAAAGATGCATATGAAGACATATGAAGAGAAAAAATATTTCTCTTCTCTACAATTGTTCACAGGAGACAGGAAACCTCATTCTCTGGGAAAAACTGGAAAAGTTCACTGGCTTGTGCATCATGTCATCATTGCAATCAACAATCTCGCTCTGGTCAACAACTCAGAGATCTACTGTCTCTTATTTATTGGCATTCAGTGACAAGGTTGAAACTGGAAGAGTCCTTCAAGTGTCAAATTTACACCAGTATCAGTAATCACTCGCATTTCAAACATAACCTAATTCTCAGAAATAAAAAAGTCAAAATATGTTTTCTACAACTGAATTAATCGGGAAGTTACAGCAAAGAAAATTTCTTGCATATTTGTAAGGACAACTAAAGTAACAACAAATGCTAACACAAATATGGAAACAATGGACAAATATCATATTATGTATGTGTGTATTATCCGCAACTGTCAAAAGAAAGGAAATGAAATCAACAATTCTTGGACACAAACCAATCTAAAAACGACCCAGCTTCCCTCATGTTACACAAATTCTTCCTATAACCCACTATTCCCTATGTAGACTGCATTACCCAAGTTATATGTGTATGCTATCACACATTATAGGAATGAGGGTGGGGGGTGGGGGGGAGAGGAGTTTATAGCACACTAGTTTTTAAAAAAACACCAAAACTACATATAAATTTCTACCACTGAACTGATTGACAGATTAATAAAACAAAAACAAAGATAATATACAAAAATTTTATGTCTGTACCTACAAAAAGTTGGGATTTTCTTTTTTTAGCAAAACAGTTTGCATAATCTCGACTCTAGCCCACTGGAGTGTTGGCGATTACGGAAATGGAAGACACAAGGGACTCAAAGGCGGGAGGAGCCAACCATACAGGGTAATGATGGGAAACAGGGAATGATATAATGAATCTAAAACAAACATGTCACTGTCTCAAACAAGAATACATTCCAATCTTAAACCGAAGACCCCCCTGACATCCAAATGCCAAGCAAATCTATTCATGGGGTGGCAGACACACAAAAGGTAAACTTGTTCATTGACTCTCAAGCACACATTACTTTTCCCAATGCCTAAAACAGCAATAACATTGATAGAAAAACTGTTTTCTTTCTACATTTTTATGAACAACATAATTTTACAAAAAACAAATTTGTAAGAAATGAGCTTTTTTTCTTCAGAGTATTCTGCAAATAAGTCAGGCATGAATTTTATATAACTGAAATGAAAAGGGAGAAAGAGACAAATAGGATTTTTTTAAAACAAGAGGCTGGACAGGAATGATATTCTGCACCAGTCTCCGCAACAAATGAAGACGAAAATACTGTACGGACAGGCGCACACTAGGTTTTCACTAGCACACGACAATTCACTTCATATTCTTCTGTAACATCTCCAAAGACCAAAAAATCCCACAACTTCTTACACTGGGCATTCTTTACTATCCACTTTACTATCCAGTCTCTCATTCTTCTCATTTCAGTCTCTCAATCTGAAAAACAACAACAACACAATCCCTTGGAGGACAGCAGAGTGGGCACAAGCACAAAGACAAATTCCAGGTCCTATCGGCTAAGAGCGTCTGGCTTTGCGGGCCTTCATGACATAGGCATCCACCAGCGAGCGAATCTTCTCCTGGTGCACCACCGTCTCCTTCGAAGCTGTCACCTGACCAAACAAAGGAGACGACAAGACAATAAGTTTTAAGTAAGAGTTTCAAGGCACTTGCAACACAAATAGTTCGAACAAGAGCCGAAGATAAGAAAAGTGCTACTAGAGAGTATATACAAAGAGACGTAAGGGAGAAATAGGGACAATAGATGTTTGATGAAAAAAAAAGAGCAAACCACCTACAGTGAAAAGAAAACAGGTGATCTACTATTCTTTGAAAATTTCCAGACAGTCCATATTTCAGCAGGAAACACAACATTTTAAAATGACTCTGTGCTTCAACTTTATACCTTGCTGTAACTAAACTATTAAAAAGAAAAATAACATTTCTTGTCAAAATGAGAACAAACTTATACCCCAAAAAAAAACCCCAAAGGATGTTAATTTAGAGTAGAGAAAAGGAGACAGAGATAGGCAGAAGAGAAAAAGTGAAGAAAAAAAGAAGGTAGAATCTACCACTGGCATTCCCCATCACCCACCTAACTTCCCACTCTCCACCAACTCC